TAGAGAGCTGCCTGTTTCTTCAACTTGAACCACCAGTTCACATGGCCCTAAGTCGACGAAGCTACCTTCCCAGACTCGCGAGCTTTGGCTAACGTTCGCGTGAACTGTTAGTTTAACTTTGGTATGTGCGACTTCGCATTTTCTGTATTAAAAGCCTGTTAAAGGCTTCTGTTTAATATTTTTGCTATAATGCCTTGAGTTGTCCATTAATGCCTGTTATAATGTGTCGTTCATTCTTTCGTAATAGGGCGACGGTGGCGAGGTCTTATCATTGAACTGACCGCCCCCAGATAATTTAGAATGATTCTATTCTGTCCAACTTGTTGCATCTGGTTTCAAACTTGGGTTTGTATGTGAACAGTTCATGTCTGTAAACTCTGTACCAACTGGGCTAGGCCGATCTGAATACTATTATAAGTAATTTATAACTTATAAATTATAATCATATAAATTGGTATAATTTTGTCATTCAATTGTCTCAACGAAAGTTTGTCTTCTTTGTCTTCTTTGAGTTCTTTGAGTTCTTTGAGTTCTTTGAGTTCCGTTTTGAACTTTTAAGTTGTGACTTTTAAGTTTTAAGTTTTAACTGGAATTTTAAGGTATTAGGTTTTTCTTTTCGTTCAGAGCTCTGTTTGTGGTACTGGTACCCTCGCTTGAGGGTCAGGCAGGTTCTGGCAGTTGGAGTCCTTAACCTTGACTTAAACTAGTGCTTTTGACCCTTCCCTTGCCAAGCCTGGAAATGCCCTGCGTGCCAGAGAAAAAAAAATAAAAAATGAATCGGCGTGGGCCTTCTTTCGGCTGGCTTTGCCAGCCAGGTTGCTCCAGCAGGCCGAGCCCCAAAACTTGTGGCTTGCGACCATTGCCGCATCGGAGAAAAACGTTTGGGAAACGTACTGGTGGTTTAGGAAGTTCCGATTGGTGGCAAAAAAAAAAGACCACCTTGATGAAAGTTTATGAAACTCGATCTTCCATTTTCCAGCTTCCGTGCGGAGGGATGGAATTTTGTTGAAGTATTAACTGTATTATTGACTACTTTTTTTTGAAAAAACGTTTGTTACTTAGTATTTGACAATTTGTTACTTGAATCAAGTTGACTTCGATAATAAGTTCGAAGTTCGATTGCAACTTTGCAAGCCTTCAAAGTCCAGACTCCAGACACTAGAACAGCTATTTTTCTGTGGTCCCTGTAATTATTGTTGTTGTTGTTATTGTTGTTGTTGTTGTCGTTGTCGTTGTCGTCGGTTTTTTTTTGTTTTTTTTTTTAATTGGGATGTTTCATTGTTTCTAGCTTAAGTGTTTTCACAACTTTTCAGTCTTTGATGCAATTCCTCTGCTTTGCAAGAAGGTGTTCGACCTACCGTCTTCCTTCGAATACAATGTATGGTCATTATAGTATTATACCTGTATTAGGCACAGCATTCAGTCCAGATCAGTGACAATGACTGTATGTTCTATTTGGGGGAAGATGGTAGTTATTGGGGTAGGACAGTTACTTTTCATGTCAACTTCAGAGTTCAGAGTTTCAGAGTTTGAAGAGGACTAACCATTCTAGCTGTATTTGGGGCAACATGGAGTCTAGATACAGCGATAAATGACCCCGTACATTCTATTCGGGGTAAGACGGTAGTTACTGCGGCAGCACAGTTACTTTCATGTCAACTTCAAGTTTCATAACTTCAGTTTTGGTGCCTTGCATGTTGCATGAAGTTAACTTGCAAGCAGATCGCTAACTGCATGCAACATTCAAGGCACCAAAATTGAAGTATGATTTTTTGGCAAGCTGCTCCAGAGATCACAGCACTGCAGAACTCAGTGCACTTAAACCGACGCTGTCCCGCTGGAATCCTGAAGTTGCAACAGGGACCGCGCCAGCTTGGGGACAGATCGACCTACCACCTGCCAAGCCCGGGAAGGGGATGGGATTTGGGGTGGGGGGGGGAGGGTGTCAGCGCAGACTCAGTGGCAATGCACAAAATTTGAGTGCGCCTACTTTGACGATTTTTCACGCTGAGAACTTTTGAAAGGGGATGGGATTTGGGGTTGGGGGGGGGGGGTGTCAGTGCCGACTCAGTGGCAATTCATGAAATTTGAGTGCGCCTACTTTGATGATTTTTCACGCTGAGAACTTTTGAAAAAAAAAAATGAAGTAATTCAGGGTCGTTGATCTAGTGTTTATCTTTCTCAGGAAAAAAAAAAAGAGAAAAATGGTACAAAAAACCAAAGACGGAAATCTGGATGGCAAAAACCAAATATGGCCGAAAAAGTACGCGTGCTCCCTGCGGGCGCCGGTAGGCCCAAAACTTTGGCTTGCTCCTTCGGGCTTGGGAAAATGCACCGGTTCAGTAACCGTGCTCTGCAGAGAGTGTTGGTTTATAACTTTATACCGCGACTACCTCCTCAAAAATGAGGCCGACCCCTGCAGAAAACAAGAAGAACTGTCCGATCGTCAATCCAATGGACCAACTGAAAAAGGACAGGCCTCCTGATAACCAGGGTAGCACACTTCAGGTAGTGATGGTTCTAAACCGCCAGTACTTCCGAGCCGCTTTTTCCCGGGGCTCGAAACGCCCAAGGCACGGGGAAAAAAAAAAAAAAAAAAAAAACAGCACAGGCCTCAGTTTGGCTGGCGCCGCCAGCGATTTCGCTCCTGCAGATGACACCCCCCCCGAAAGTTGCAGCATGCATGCAGTGACTGCAGTCGCATCGCTGGGAAACGTTCTGGTGGTTGCAAGTGGAGGTTTGTCGATCCGATGTCCATGATCTAGAGAATGTAATATGTATGCCTTGTATCCAAAGGAGTACTGACAATAGCTTTCCCCATTCAAGGTGCCCATGCAGGCAGGTGCTATGGAGGAGAAACAACTCTCACCAGGCTGCAAATGGAAAAGGGTAAAGAGAGTTCCGATTGCTCGAGAAAGAGAACTGGCCACAGATGGAAAATCAGCCCTGCATTGTGGGAAAGTTAAAGAAGATGCAACTTTCCCCATGGGCAGAGAGCTCCAATCACTCAAGAAAGGGAATTGGCCACAAATGGAGAGCCAGTCCCGCGCAGTGGCAAAGGTGAAGAAAGTGTAACCTGGGAAGAAGTGAAGAAAGCTGGAAAAGAACTTAGACAGTGTTGCGGTAGTCCGTGAGGGGATTGGCTGGCAGCAAAGCAGTCCGCAACAGGGGACAATGTGAAGAGGTGTGAAGAGGTGTGAAGAGGTGTGAAGAGGTGTGAAGAGGTGTTCACTTTTGCCGACGTCAGAATTACGCTGCAATTCACGCACATACGCCTCTGATCTAGGAGCCACTGCAAGTCTGCGACTCTGTGTAATGGTGGCAGGTCGCAGCTGCCCGGAAGAGAAACGGTGTTCGTCTCACAGGGGAGCTAAAGTGTTTGTCTGGGGCTCCACAGGAAGCTGGAGGCAACTATGGTCGGTCCGTACTTTGCTAAGTTGGCATGGTCCATAAAGCTCAGAAGCTGTCACTGAGTGAGTTGGTCATGGAGCTCTTACAAAGCTTTTGACGAGCTCCGCTGCTTATATGCAGCACGTCGTCTTGCCAATATGGTTCATAGATCCACACAGCGAGCGAGCCAAAGTCCTCCTCCGTGCAAGCACGGATTCGAACTGGCGACCTCGGCCTCAGGAGCCAAGTATCTTATCTACTACAGCCAGGACACGGTGTTCAAAAGTGGAACCCTACCAGTCATGATATCTGCCCCAGCCCTGCAAGGCTGTAGTGTCCAACGCAACCCACAGCACACACAACATCACACGGACGTGGCATTTCTCGCACACTTCGCTCCACTGCACAAGACCCCCCTTCATCAGTACGTAGGCCGAACATGACACACGGGGTACTTCCCCGTTGGTTAACGGGTGCTTCCACAATATGCCAAGCCTGTGGGTGCGCAGTTCACTAGCTCAGCATAAGCGGTAAAACTCAGAAGCTGGTTCTTTTTCTCTTTTTTTTTTCCGTTTTGAAGCAGCACAGCGGTAGTGGCTGGCTGCTGTACTTGCTTGCGTTTGGGCGGCTTGGTTGCTCTAATTTTTTCTGTTGTGGCGAGAATACGACAGAAAAGTCGGGAACGGGGGGGGCAACAACAGGGAAAAAATTGGACCATTTCTCGATTTAAGCGTGTGTCATCCTTGCGCAGGGGCCATGCTAATCTTCATTCTTTGTATCGTTCCAATTTTAACGGATGTCCTGAAGGACATCTTGTGATGTCAGAAGATGGTACTTAGTTTATTTGTAACTTAATTTTTTTTTGTCAGTCACTTGGCTAAGATTTTTTTTCTTGTGAGTCACTTGGCTACTTCGGATAAAGGCACCGTGCAGCTATTATGAAGCTTGTGATGACTCAGGCTGCTTATGAGTGTATGCAACATGTTGTCTTGCGAAGCCTTTTGAGTGTATGCTTTGCAAGCTCTCTGCATGGTCCGTCAGGTTCCGAAGCTGGTAATTAGTTATATGTAGCCGAAATTGTTTTTTTGTGTCACTCAGTGACCTATGAAAATGCCATGAAGCTCTTATGAAGCTTGTGATGAATTATGCTGCTTATCACGTCTAGATACCTTAGTTGGTCGTAACTTCAAGGGTCTCCTAGTTGAGCATCCAGTATCTTGGAATTGAGCGGATGGATGGCATGCGCTATGCTCACCTCAGTAGCACTGCAAGCGGAAAACGATTGCAGAGCCTGTTTTTAAGCCAAGCTGCAAAGGGGGTAAGTTGGCAATGCAAAGGTGCAAAGGGGGTAAATTGGTGCTTCAAAGGTGCGAAGGGGGTAATTTGGTGATGCAAAGCTTCAAAGGGGGTAAGTTGGCGATAGAAGAGCTACGAAGGGGATAAGTTGGCGATAACGCAGAACGTAAACCATTTGATTGAAAGGGTAAACAAACGTCCACGATGGTAAGTTGGCGATAAAAGAGCTACGAAGGGGATAAGTTGGCGATAACGTAGAACGTAAACCATTTGATTGAAAGGGTAAACAAACGTCCACGATGGAGTACTGGCAGATGACGCAGAAAGCCCTGCAAGGCGATCCGCCGATTGTAAGGCGACCTAAGTTGACGGAGGCATTGCTGAAAAAACCACCTTTCCGGTTCTTGCACGATGTTATCACAGAGGTTATCAGGCAGACAGGCTTTGGAGAAGGTCTGTTTACTCCTGAGGAACTGAACTCAGCAAATGTGAAGGACAAGGAAGGGAAAGTCAGATTCCTCAACAAGATCATCAACTGTGTTGGTATCGCACTCAGTAGTCATGTTCCTGCAAGACCTTTGAAGATAGTTGCAGGCTTGGAGGCAGAGAACACCAACACATTCTTGCAGATGCTGGCTATGGCAGCGTCGGCAAAGGTCTCCCGCAGCAAAGAAGCAGTGGAGCAGGTTCTGGCAGGACAGGGAATGACCCAGTCAGGACAGGGCAAGGCAAAGGAAACACAGTCACAACCACAGCAGGCGCAAAGTGCAGGGCAAGCAACACCCTCCTCCCAGCCTTCCTCCCGCTTAACAGACTCGCAGCAGCAGCAGCAGCAGCAGCCAGCGGCGTCAGGATCAACAGGCAGATCACAGAAACAAAGGTCATCCCAGCAACCCTCCCCGGCAGGATCTGCATCGCCCTCGTTCACATCAAAAGGTGGAACCCAACCAGGAGTGCAGTCTGACGGTCGTCGTGGTCCAGCATTGTCGACGGGTTCTTCTGGGCCCCCATCACGGAAGTCGTTGAACAGCTCAGCGGCTGCAGTGCAAGACATTCCTGCAAAGGCGATTGAAGCTCTGATGAAGCAGAATGTGACATCTGGACGCCCTTCAGGTGCCACACCGCCATCTGAGCCTCAGGGTGAGCGCGTCCCTCAAAAGGCATCTCAACAGCTACCTGGGAGGGCAGCAACTGGTGCCGCTGCTGCCACAGCAGGAGAGTTCGTGCCAGAGCAAGAGAAAGCAGTGAGCCTGGCTGCAGCTCAGAGTTCAGCAACCAAAGTGCCTTCCAGAGAGAGGGTCATGGAGAGAGCAGACGCACAACAAGCCCCGGCATCAATACCAAATGACCCGAATTCCGGTCTCGGCAGACTAATGCCTGGACCAGATCAATCCGTAGTTCTCTCTCCAGCCCTTCCTTCAAGTCCTGGGGAATACGAGCCTGCTGCGCCCCCTCCACCTCCACAGGGCTCTGCATCTAAGAGCATAACCACAACTCGTCGTCCAGTCCGAGGAGCTTCTGGGGCTGCCAGAGGTGGTGAAAGAGCAGCAGCCCCTCAATCAGGTCAATTGCAGGATCAGGGCCAGTTTGCCAGCACGAGCCACAGTGCTGACAGTGATGGGAAACTGGGAGTCATGAAGCGAGCAACGACTGACCCTCAAGGCCTGATGGATGTTGTGGAGACAGGGGCCGCAGAGATGTCAGAAATAATGGATGGCCAGAGGGAGAGAGAGAGGGATAGGGGCATCTCCATCCCTCCAGTACCTGCTGCAGCAGACTCAGAGCGGCTAATAGTGATGACGGAGGACAGGGGAACTGATGATAAGAATACAGAACCCATGTTGGATGGTGTGGGAGTGGGGTTGTCTTCTGCTGCAGAAGAGAGGGGTAGAAATCCATCCGATGCAGTTGAGGATGCTAGACCTTTGGGTGCAAGTGATGGGGGAGTACAACAGGCTGGGCGCGAAAGAGGAGGGCCTGGGGGAGGGAGTGCAAAACCAGGTGGGGTATCAGGAAGAGTTCCTCGCCGCATGGGGGATGCAGCGACAGAGGCCGTTGCAGGCCATGCTGTGCCAATTTCACCGACTACAAAAAGGGTTGCGAGTTTTTCTAGAAGAGGGGGCGGTATGGCAGCAGAGAACATTGTGAGCCAAGCACAGCTGGGACCTATAGGAGAGGGAGGGGATCATCCAGTCCCTGCACCCCCAACACCAATATCATCCACTGCACGACCCATGCGGTGGCCCTCCACGAGAGTGCCGATTGAAAGGCCGCAGTCAGCTCGTAAAGCGCCACCGAAACTCCCCAACAACGTTGTTAGCGTCGAAAGAAGGCTCGGCGGCCATGCTGGGACACTGGATGGGAAGGTTCCTCCTCCGGGTGTGGGCCCTCTGTTGGACAGGCCCGGGAGCCGACTGGCGGGCGCCAAGGACAGGTGGGTGAACCAGACTTCGACGATCATGGCTGATGGATTGCCTGAAGAGGATGAAGGAGATGAGCCCGCCAGCGGAGCTGGAAGTTTGCCCGTGCTGCTATCGTCTGATGGCCCTGTAGCTGCAGCCTTGGGAAGTGCACCTCCAGTATCGGCGGAAAATGCCGGAAAGCTCGTCCGCGATATACTAGAGACAAAGAAGGACCTCCAGAGCGCTGCGATATCGAAAGATGTCCTGAGTGAAATGAGTGCTAACGATGCCACTGTTCCGTCAAAGGAACAAGGAGGAATCATACTTGGACGAGGGCGGCGGTCATCAGTGAGCGTCAAACCAGATGGTCCGACCCAGAAAGAGGAGATCCAGAAGATTCAGGAGGCGGTTCAAGCGCTTTGCCAAGCGACGAACCCCTTACGGAAATGTGCAGACTACTTGCAGGAAGACATAGAGAACATGAACAAAGAGTATTTGTTCTGGAGCAACGAGAGGGCGACATACACAATGAAGCTCGAGGAAGAGACGAGACTCTCCGAAGAGATGATGCAGCAGTCGTCGATGCAGGCCATGGAGCTGGAAGAAGAGATCAAACAGCTACAAGGACGGATGAACAGTGTGAAGGCACAAGTTCTGCGAAATGATGAAACAATTCAGCAGTTGCTTCGACTTGTTGTATCAGGGCCAGGGAAATTGAGTTAATGCTACTCAACAAACCACATAATTATTACAGTGTAATAAGTTTTACAATGTCATTCTAATGAACCCCGATGCTTCCATTCAGTGTTAAAAATGCTTTCGTACTTGCTATAGCTGGCTTTTTTAAGTTGTAATTTTTTTAATGTTAATTTTGGAAATCATATTGTCAAACAGTCAAAGTAATACTTAGATATTTTGTCGTTTAAAATTTAAATGATTTCAATCTTTTTTTTTTTTTTTTTTTTTTTTTTT